GAAACTCAACTGCGTTGGGACAGTCATGAACTATAACACATTTTAAGCGTACAGACAAACTAACACATACCTAAATATACCCACACAGACACACGCATATACACAGACACACATACACACACACTGACAATCACACACACACAGATAGACAATCACACAAATATAATGCAATGCTTAAGTATTTGTTACAAGGCCGCTTTTCTTTCTATACGTTTTTTCATTTTTTTATTTATATAACTACATACAGCAGCAGACTAAAACATAAATAAAAATACATCAAAATACCTAGATACAACACACACACACACACACACATATATACACACAAACACATATACACACATACACACACACACACATATATATCTTGCAAAAATCTAAAAATCCAGACTAACTATTAAACGAGTAAGACGTCCATCTGAATTGATCGTTCAACTTATCACAAACTGCTGGTGCAATAGCTTCGTATCTTTCGCCATAGGGTAGTGGGTCTAAGGCCTGCATGTTATTATTATTATTTATTATTATTATTATTTATTATTATTATTATTTATTATTATCATTATTATATATCAAACGTTGTTATTTTAATTAGTAATTAGATGGTTGATTCAATTAATGTTTCTATTGGTATAAGGATTAGTGTTTTAATTAGTGGGAATATTGTTAGTTAGGTGCGTGTCAAAGAATAAAAAAAACTAATGAACAAAATGGATTTTTATACTTCTTTATTATTTCACTCTTTCATTCATTTATTCAGTCAGTTATTTATTCAGTTTTCGTCTATTCATTTATTTATTCAACCAATGCTTAATTTGCTAGTAGTTTAATGAATACATTAATTATTATTACAACTAAATTTTTAATTTAACGAAAAGAATTATGATATATAGTGTATTATTAGTAATCAAGCAAAGATAAGAAGATAATTACAAAATGAAAAACTCAACAAACTTAGTACTATTATTAAGTACAGGTACAAATATTAGTGCGGTTTTAACACATTATGTATAAATAAAGGATCTTATCAGAAAACACTGTGATATTATATGATTTGATTTGTATTTATTTCAAATAAATTATGTTAAATTATAATCGTTATTATCTCTGTTGAATTATAGTCGTTTCAAATATTGAACCAAATAAATAACCTTAAAATAAAACGCTTAGAATATGAACCGAGAAAATTTGTATTCATTTATTTAGTTAATATATATGTAAAGAGCTTTATCTCAAGTGGTCATAAAGAGCAGGAAACTTGCTAACAAATATGAAACACATGTGGAATATTGGGTGAATTTGGTGGTTGAATGATTAAGGTGCCTGGGATTGCCGTTGCAGAGAGTAAGTAGGTTCGATCGCAGAAGAGATCTCTCTCTATTACAAACAATATATGTGTCTGATGAGCAGTTTGTTTGTTTGTTGTAAACAATATATATATATAAAACAATTGTAGGAGGAAGTGAAAAAGTGAGTGATGAACGAACGAACGAACGAACGAATGAATGAATGAATAAATGATTGATGGATAGTTAGATAGGTGATCTAATGTTGGTGATGATAAAATGGTAATAACGGTGTCGCCGTCGGCCAGAAATGATGATGACATCACGATAAAGAAAGAACTAAATAAACAACGATCACAAAAATTTTCATTTTTGCATTATCTATGCTGTTCTACATGACGTCACAGATAAGAATAATAATTACGAACTCTGTTATCTAACTAAAACACATTTACACGAATTCAAGTTTTCAAATTACTCAAGTAAAATTTGTTATCATGTATGTATGTGTTGGTATGCATGCATGTGTGCGTGTGTGTTTGTTTGTTTGTATATATGTGTGAATGTGTGTATGTAAGTATATGTATATAAGCATGTATGTTTTTATGTATGTTTTTATGTATGTTTTTATGTGTGTATGTATTTGTGTTTGTGCATGTGTTTGTGTGTTTCCGAATGGGTGTGCCCAATTTGAATGTCTTCTAAATTTTTTTCAAAAGTCAGTAGAATGAAAGGAGGTATCAACACTGAATGAGTTAATTTACTGTTCTGGGATAGCGTTAAAACTGTTACTACTACAACTCTTACTAATAATAATTATACTACTCCTATTACTACTGCTACAATTACTACAACTACTTCTGCTACTGCCACTGCTGCTAATGCTGCTGCTTTTACTACTTCTACTACTATTATACTTATTACTCTTATCAATACAGTATTTATATATTTTTACTAACTTTGCAAACAACACTGAAAATTATTAAATTACTTCAAAATTATTAGAGTTCAAAGTTATCGATGATGTTGCCATTATGTAAATGTATCTACTATCTATCTAGCTATCCAAGTATCTATTTTGAATGTTCAGGAAGATAATAAAAGCAATTATTATTATTATTATTATTATTATTAATTTTATTATTTTTAAACTATTTCAAGATGTGTTGATGGAAAAAACAGATTCACTTTGTCTATCTAACTAATTCATCGGAACTCTAGTCTGTCTATCCGTCTGTCTAATTCTTTGTCTGTCTGTCTGTCTTTATGTATGGCTGTCTGTCTACTTCTTTGTTTCTCTGTATGTATGTATTGTTGAATGTAGGTAGGTGTACATTAGGTACGCCTGTATGTATGTTTGTCTGCCTACTTGTTTGTCTGTCTATATGTATGTTTGTTTGTAAGTATGTGTAGGTCTGCCTGCTTGTTTGTCTCTATATAAGTCTCTATATAAGTCTCTATATCTTGCTTGTCTCTATATAAGTCTCGATATGTAAGTATGTTTGTATTTGTATGTAGACCGTCTTTGTGTTACATTTATTTTAAAAAATAATAAAAATGTATGTCTTTCAATGCTATTATAAGAATAATAATTGATAATTATTTTTTTTCTTTTGAAGTTTTGCTTTATAGGTGAGTAAGTGAGCGCTTGAGAAGTAGTTTCTTGGTTATAAATCGCTAGAATGATTTTTTATGGTTTTTATTGCATATTTAAAAATTGTTGCCTCGTTGACCGTGATGTTTGCAACAGATGAATGTGTGTGTGTGTGTGTGAGGGTGTGTGTATGTTTTTATGTATTGTTGTGTGTGTGTATTGTTGCATGTGTATGTGTGTATGTATTGTTGTATGTGTGCGTATTGGCGTATGATACAGTTTCACGTAATAGCTGCCTGTAGTTCGGTTTTAATGTGCCTCAAATATCTCTTCAGCATCATCCTTAACTTATATTTTTCCTATCTTTCAACAACGTTACGGCGAACCTACAACATTTCTAACCTTTTCATACACACACACACACACACTACACAAACACACCGCATACACACACCACACACACACACACACACACACACACACAACAACAACATAAACGTCACTCCAACAGCAACAACAAAACAACAACAGACAGATATTAAGCAATTAGAACAACTAATTAGAAAAAAAAGCAACAGTCATTTGTGAATAAGTAAATTAACCAAATAAATATTAGATTACACTAAAAAACACGGGGACAAACGCACACAAACACACACACACATACACACACACATGCACTCTCTCACCTATTCTTATCTTAAATAATCAAAAAAACACATATTTATTCAAATACATACAAGCGCATACGTACATACCTTACAAACAAACATACACAAACAAACATACATACACAAACATACAAACAAACGTACAAACAAAAAAATCATACAGAAAGTCTCAAACTTACAAGCAACAACGATACATCTTGCAGTTGTTAGCGCTGATAAGAGCTAAAGAATACATCACATTTCAAGGCCATACTCGGCAATAGCAAAAAATATTTATGCTGCCAATTAATCTCAATAATGAAGCTGTCGAAAAATTTGGAAAAAAAAAGATTAAATTATAAATTTCATGTTTAATTTTTTATTTTCTGTTGTCTTTTTTTCTAAAATTTGTCGGAAATTTTTCAGAAATTTGTTTATCTGTCTTAAATTTATATCTCTCAGTTTTTGAAAAATTTGTTTATATTTGAGTTTAACGGTGATAATCGAGATGAGAAATAACGAAAACCTATCTTTTTTCTATGTGTTTTTTATCTTTGCTCCGTTTTTTTTATTATACATAATAGAAAAAAATGATTATAGTGAGTCGTCCTTAACTTTCTTCTCAAAAAGATACCAACAACATTCGCGAGTGGATCAACTCATTGCAAACATGGTCACTACTAAAATTACTACTGCTGTTGCTGCTACCACTACCACTGCTACTACCACTACTACTACTACTACTACTACTACTACTACTACTACTACTACTACTACTACTACCACTGCTACTACTATTGCTGCCGCCATTACTACTATCAATATTACTACCAGTATTACTATTACTGTTGTTGCCCGTGCTACTACTACTAATACTACTACCACTTTTGCTGCTGCTTATACTACTACTACTGCTACTACTAGCAATAATAATAATAATAATAATAACTCCCTAAGAACATGCCGACGAAAAAATAAATGAAGCCGATGTTTGTTTGGCGTTCATCTGATACGATAGTTGCTGTGCATTAGTGAATGGATGGATGAATGAACGAACGAATGAATGAATGATTGATTGAATGGATAAATGAATGAATGAATGATTGATTAAATGAATGAACGAACGAATAAACGAGTGAGTGAGTGAATAAACAATAAATAAGTAGATTCATGTGCAAAAAAGTAGAGGTTAAATATGCATATAAATAAATAAACAAAGAAATGGATAGATGGATGGATGGAAATAATGGACGACCAGACAGATAGATGGTCGGGCAGATAGACAAATTGACGGTTGGGGCGAAATTAAAACAAACAAACGATTGAATGACCACAAATTTAAAAAACAAACAGACGAACGATTAAGAAGGGGATGATAAAATCTAGAAATGTGATTGGCCCGTAATGGGCTGAATAATAATAAATAAATAAATAATAATAGCAACAATAATAATAACAACAACAATAATAATAATAGCAATAATAATAAATAATAATAATAATAAATAATAATTATAATAATAAACAATATTAGACAACATGAGTGATAATAAATTTTGAATCAAAACAAACATTTCAGACGCTATCGAACCAATCTAATTGTTCACCGTCTAAGCTTTCCCTAATCATCATCATCATCATCGTTATTATTGTTATTGTTATTGTTATTATTATGATTATTAATCTTATGAAAAGCGCACTTATGATCTGATCAGTTTTTGTTTATGGTACTGTATAAAAAAATATGATTGAACATCATATTTCACATACTATAATATATGTATGTTTGAGTGAGTAAATGGATGAATATATGGATGGATGGATGGATTGATTGATTGATTGATTGATTGATTGATTGATTGATTGATTGATTGATTGATTAGAGAATGAATGAAAGAATAGTTAAATGAATGAATGAAGGAATTGATGAATGAATGAAGGAACGAATAGATGAATGAATGAATAAACCAAACA